GTCACAAGATGAGCCCTGTGTCTTCCAGATGGGGCGCCCCATTGAGTCACAAGATGAGCCCTGTGTCTTCTAGATGGGGCTGCCTCTGGCTTGTGACTTAGAGCGCGGTTCTGAAAGTTCGCCCGCCATCAAAGTCTGGACAAGTTTTCACGTCAATACACGTCACTGTGATTTGGCAGCCCACCGACACGAATCTGGACCACAATGTACCACTCTCACGAATCTGGACCACAATGTACCACTCTCACGAATCTGGACCACAATGTACCACTCTCACGAATCTGGACCACAATGTACCACTCTCACGAATCTGGACCACAATGTACCACTCTCACGAATCTGGACCACAATGTACCACTCTCACGAATTTACTGCACGAACTGGCGATGGCTGTAACCCCTCTGGCGAGAAATGTGCATGTGTTTCACAGGTTCGTTCGCACACATCCGGAAACATTCACGATTGGATGTTAGGGTCGTAGGCACAGTTGCAAGCCCAAGCCCTAGACTGTGCGATCGTTGGAAAATCTCAGGGCACGAGTGTGTGTGTGTAGTGAGGGTGTTTTTGAGACGTCTCAAAATCACCCTCACTTCACGTGGCAAATCTCAGGGCACGAGTGTGTGTGTGTAGTGAGGGTGTTTTTGAGACGTCTCAAAATCACCCTCACTTCACGTGGCAAATCTCAGGGCACGAGTGTCTGTGTGTACAGCGTATCTTTACACGTTGACCCTGGCCATTTTGTGCCGGATGGCGGGTGGACAAGTCTGGAACCGTGCTCTTAATGGGGCGCCCGTCCTTGCCCAACCAGCCGCCGCTTGTGCACGCACGTTATGTACCTTGCCTTGCGTTGGTGGCGTGGCATGTGTTGTGACTCTACCGGCACTGATACAGCCCAGGGTGAGAGTGGCATGCGTCAGTCAAAGAACCATTTGTGACAGTAACTAACTTGCACTGTATGTATAATGATGATCAATTTACACGTCCAGGTGCTGGTCCCCTCCCCGCTGATGCCCATGGCATGGCGTCTAGTCTGAGAATGACAGGACGCCCATCTTCGAGTCATTGTGACAATAACGAGGCCTACATGCAGTGTGCTCACCACGTGGTGACTTTTGAGTCGACTCAAAAGTCACCCCATCTACGAGTCATGGTGAAAATAACGAGGCCTACATGCACTGTGGTCACCACGTCCAGGTGCTGGTCCCCTCCCCACTGATGCCCATGGCATGGCGTGTAGACCAACAACAGCAAGTCAATCAAGGAGGCATTTGTGACAATAACGAGGCCCATATAACGCCCACTCGAGATGCTGGCCGGTCTCCGCTGATAGGATAGCCATTTTTGTGTATAGGCTGAGAATGGCATGCATTATTATAAGAGACTAGTGTGGCAAAAAAACCCAATCACCACGTTGAGGTGCTGGTCCCTGCTGATATCCATGGCGTCTAGGCTGCGAATGGCAGCTGAAGTACACATAAACTGCTATTTGTGACAACAACGGGGGTTCGAAGAAGCTCACCACGTCCAGGTGCTGGTCCCCGCTGATATCCATGGCGTCTAGACTGAGAATTGCATTATATTATCTAAGAGCCATTTGTGATGTGACAATAACGAGCGCTATCTAATGCCCATTGCTCACCACGTCGAGGTGCTGGTCCCCGCTGATATCCATGGCGTCTAGACTGAGAATGGCACAGCCAAGGTGCGGGAAGGTCACGTCCAGCTGATGCGCAAGATGCGGAGGGGGCGTGGGGTGGGGGTGGGGAGGGGGAGGGGGAGGGGGAGCGGGGGCTTTTCATGTTTTGAGGCGTTTTAAACCTGAGAATGGCACAGCCCAGGTGCGGGAAGGTCACGTCTGGCTGATGCGCAAAGAGGGAACGGGGGATGGGGTTGTGGGGTGGGGGGGAAGGGGGGGGAGAGGATGGACTATTGATGCGCCTTCACAAGGAGAGCGAGAATGGCGCAGCCAAGGTGTGGGAAGGTGAAAACGAGGTGATGCGGAAGCAGGGCATGGGGGATAGGATGGAGACGCGCAGACATAGTGGGAGGTTGAGGGAGTGAAGGAAATTGGAGGGTGATAAGAGGAGATGGAAGAGAGTGAGGAAGGATATTGAAGCGTTGAAAATTGGGAGGGAAGGGAGAGAACGAACGGCAAGCCAAAAGGGAGTCGAAGGAACGCACGGGGGCAGTATGCGAAGAGGGGAAAGTAAAACCAGGAATGGGGACTACCCGAGAAAGGACGGCAAATGAAGGAAGGGCGAGGGAATGAAAGGGCAAGGGACGAACACATGGCGAATGGATGTCGGACTTGTTAGCACTTAGTACGCAACTCACATTAATGCGCATGGTTTCGCCCCTTGACATGTCCACTGACAGCTCGTTCGCCACTGATGGCTTCAGATAGATCTCTGCTCCAATGGGGGAAGGAAGGGAAAGGGGGAGAATCAGGGTTAGCTGTGAAGTCTCTGGCCTCATCGTCTCGTGGTTTCGCCCCTCCCCTTGACATGCCCACTGACTGACGGCTCTTCGCCACCGATGGCTGCAGAAAGGTCTCTGCTTGAAGGGGATAAGAGGGCGGAGCCACGTAAGAGGACCAGGGCTAGGTGTAAAATTCTGGCCTCACTGTCGCATGGTTTCGCCCTTGACATGTCCACTGACAGCTCGTTCGCCACTGATGGCTGCAGAAAGGTCTGCTTGAAGGGGGACAGAGGCAGAACCGCAGAGGAGAAGCAGGGTTAGCTGTGAGGTCACTGGCTTCATCATGTCATGGTATCGCCTCGCCTCGCCCCTTGACATGTCCACAGGCATATCTCGGTCGCCACTGATGGCCGCAGGCAGATCTCTGCAGAAGGGGGGAAGGGGCGGAGCCACGGAGGAGAGACAGGGTTAGGTGTGAGTGAGTGGCTGGCTGGCCTCATCGTCCCATGGTGTCGCCCCTCCCCTTGACATGTCCACTGGCTGACAGCTCAGCTCGTCGCCACTGACGGCTTCAGACACATCTCTGCAGAATGGGAAGCAGGAAGGCGGAAGAGGCGGAGCCACGGAGGGGAAACAGGGTGAGATGTGGGTCTCCGGCCTCATCATCGTCTCATGGTTTTGCCCCTCCCCTTGACATGCCCACTGACTGACAGCTCGTCGCCACTGATGGCTTCAGGCGATCTCTGCAGAATGGGGAGGACGGATGGGAGGGGGAACAGGGCTGGTCGTGACAATGGAAGGGCCGGCATCTCCCAGTCTCATCTCATCACGTCCCCAATCCCTTGCCTTCCATGGCACTGACCGCTCGTTCGCCACTGATGGCCGCAGGCAGATCTCTGCTTGAAAGGGAAGAAAGGGGGGCGGAAGAATCAGGGTTGGTCGTGAAGATGGAAGGGCCGACATCTTCCAGTCTCATCTCATCGCGTCCCCAATCCCTTCCATGCCACTGACTGACAGCGCGTTCGCCACTGATCTCTGCTTCAGAAAGAGATCTCTGCAGAAAGGGAAGCAAGGTGGGCGGAGAGGGGGGTTGGGGGGGGGGGTGGGGAGAACAGGGCTGGTCGTGACAATGGAAGGGCCGACATCTCCCAGTCTCATCTCATCGCGTCCCCAGTGCCTTCCATGCCACTGACTGACAGCGCGTTCGCCACTGATGGCCGCAGAACAGGATGGAGGAATGGTGGCGCAAACCGGGTCGGGGAATGGTGGCGCAAAACGGGTCGGGGGAATGGCGGCGCAACGCGGAACGCGAGAATGGTGGCGCAAAACAGGATGGGGGAAGGGCGGCGCAAAAGAGGACGGGGGAAGGGCGAGGTCGCAGCGCATGGCGCAGCGGCCGCAGGGCAATGGGTCGAAAGTTGAAAGATTTGAAGGAATGTCAACCGTGGATCTCTGCGAAAGGATGATATATGAACAATGGGAGGGGAAAACCGTCGGCTGCGATCGTCTGCGCGTCAGACAGCGGATCGAGAGGAGGGGTGACCGTCGTTACGTACGGAGTTCGGTAACGAAGAGCAGCGTCATGATGACAGATGAAACGAGGGTAATGATACCCCCGGACAGCGTACGGCTGTAGAAATCCTCGTTGATCTTCGGATACGCGTCCAGCAGCTTTAATTTGTTCAATACCTCCATTTCGTACGCGATAATATACCCCCCTCTGGCCTGATACCGATTAGATACTAGCTAACTATTGGATACAAGCTGACGATTTGATGCTAACTGAAGACTTGATGATACCGCACAGATGATGGACAAGATTAGACGGCAGTGACGGGGTATTGAATGCGACCAGATTAACCCTGGTCCAGCTGATTGGCGAAACTAGCGCCGGTTGCGGCACGATCAGCCTGGCTAATTAAACAACACAGCTATTCGAGCTAAAGAATCGAAAAATGCCAAGGTAATGAGCTCCGCAATCTGACTAATTTAGGAGCTCCGATCTCAGTAGTAGGCGTTCTCAGCATCTACGGAAATGCTGAGACGCTACTACGTGGGACACTAGGAACGAATTTGATCAGTCTGCTACTGGTTGGCGGGAAACTATCCCATCTTCCCACTTCTGTGCTTTCGAATCACTGCCCTAGAACGCGTAATTCATTCGACGAAACGATGCGGTAACAAGAACCTCGTGTATTTCGTACGAGTGCCTCGTATTCCCCGGCCCCACACTCCCCCCAATCGTTCCCTGAAACGTCAGCCCTGGTGTTCGCGTTCCACCTTGATTTGGATGTCGCAAGATGTGCGACGATACTTGCGAAAATATATCTGAACTCGCGACTCCGAATTTCTCGATTCTAGAGCGTTCCAACCGAACAAGCACACACTGACCTCCATAGGGCCCACACAAAACAGGATCCAAAACGAACTGAAAATGAATTGAGGGACGAACCTGAGAGCCAATATGTAATTTCGCAAGTACTGCACACACGTAAGCTTCCCAATCAATATTTCTAGGGCATGAAACGACACCAGTCTTGTGATGTAAACACGTACTATCCCCCTCAGTTTCTGGACAACTGATGTATAGACGCTCATTGTACTATTCCACTTCGCCCCACCCTGAGTCACCCCTACGATACTACCTGCGCGAACAGCGGCGCAGTTCCCTCGTTGCACGCGTGCCATCTCCATCCCGTCCTCTGCTCTTCTTCCCTCGGCCGATTCCGCTCCTCTTCCTGTTTCCTTCACGCGCGACTCTTGCAAAATCGCCGAATCGCGGCCAATCATTCGCCAAGCGTCGCCGAACGTCGCCACCGCGCAGCACGCACTGCGTATATTCAACGCGGCTCTGCTGCCGGAGTCGCATCGAGAGCCGTGGAAACACGGATGTTCGCGAAACCCTAAACAGAGGTACGCCAGTCACCTTCTGTCATTTTGACTCGTGCCGCAGTCAATACATGCGCCCCCCTATCGTTTCCCTCGTCTATGCCGTCCGCACTGCAAGGCTCACAGCCAAATAGGGGGGGTGTGAGCCTTGCAGTGTGTCTTAGTAGTACACGTCACGCGGCGAGCCAAGTCATGGTGCTCGTAGAGTCGACTTTTGAGCCGACTCAAAAGTCACCCTATCGTTTCCCTCGCCTAGGCCGTCCGCACTGCAAGGCTCACAGCCCCCCTACACGTCACGCGGCGAGCCAAGCCATGGTTCTCGTAGTTTGAGGCGCCTCAAAAAGCTCCGCAAGGCAAGGCCCACAGCCTATGAGTAGCGAGCGACCCAAGTCATGGTCCTCGTAGTAGGTGCGTCAGAACCCGATGTGTACATTTGTTTCAGAAAGCTAGCCTGTGCCTGATGTTGCAGGGTGGTTTTGAGAATTCTCAAAAACACCCTGCAGCGACCCAAGTCATGGTCGTCGTAGTAGGTGCGTCAAACCCGATGTGTAAACCTGTTTCAGAAAGCTAGCCTGTCCCGGACCTTGTGACTGGCCTTTTTTGTGTCTGAACAGGTGTATCTCTGACCTACTAGCCTGCTGGTTACCCCAATGAGTGACCTCATTTTTGATAGAACTAGCGTGTCTGAACTGCGTATAACCAACCAAGCATGCCTGCTATTTACCCCAGCGAGTGATTTTTTCCCTTCGATTGACCTAGCTTGTGATGGACCTAAGCTAACCTGTTGCTAGACATGACTCGCCGCATTCCATAAGGCGAGTAGCGCGTTGACTTTTGAGTCGACTCAAAAGTCAACCTGTTGCTAGACATGACTCGCATTCCATAAGGCGAGTAGCGAGTTGACTTTTTGAGTCGACTCAAAAGTCAACCTGTTGCTAGACGTGACTCGCATTACATAAGGCGAGTAGCGAGTTGACTTTTTGAGTCGACTCAAAAGTCAACCTGTTGCTAGACGTGACTCGCATTCCATAAGGCGAGTAGCGAGTTGACTTTTGAGTCGACTCAAAAGTCAACCTGTTGCTAGACGTGACTCGCATTCCATAAGGCGAGTAGTGGTCGTCTCGTCTCGTTAACACTTGCTCAATCAGAGAGGAAACGAGGAGTCGTAGTCGTACCCGACTTGAGTGATTTCTCCATTGTACCGCCTGCCTTGCCTTGTAAGGCGAAACCTGAACTAGCCTGATGCAAGAGATGCTCTCTTCACCCCAACCGTGCCTGTATGTATATCTCCCTTCCCCCACCCAACCCCCCCGTTCCCTTCTCCCCCCCGTCCCTGAAGCAGCATAGCATGAAGGGAGAATCAGCATAAGTCCAGCAACTGCATCAATCAAGAAGAATCAAAGCAACCGACATCTGGTCAGGATATTGAAAATTCTCTCAAATCCGTTTTCCACTTCCCTGCTGCAGCCTGCAGGGGCATGCCAGGGGAGGGAACCACAGCAGCAGCATCCCATTCCCGTTTTAAGCAGCTCCAGGAAGCATCCTTTTCTCGGATCTATCAGTTACAGGAAGCAATGAACGTGACTACAACAGAAGCAATCTGCTGCGGCGTTATTGTATGCAACGTGTTCGTGCTCCTGTTTGCTGCGATTTTCGCCAGCGATGGCAGCGGGCAGGAAAATGTTTTCGACGAGCGGACGTGGGCCAATAGCGACGACCAGAGCAAGCCGCCATTGAATTCGATCGCGGTTGATGCTGCCACTCCGCCTCCTATAGTGGTGATGAAATCAGGGAAGAAAGACTAGATTGGGGGAGAGGATGGGATTAGAACGGGGAGAGGTATGAGCTGGAAAGACTACACTTGGGGGATAGGGGGAGAGGCATGAGCTGGAACGACCAGAGTGGGGGAGAGGCATGAGCTGGAACGACCAGAGTGGGGGAGAGGCATGAGCTGGAACGACCAGAGTGGGGGAGAGGCATGAGCTGGAACGACCAGAGTGGGGGAGAGGCATGAGCTGGAACGACCAGAGTGGGGGAGAGGCATGAGCTGGAACGACTAGAGTGGGGGAGAGGTACCGTTTAAGTTAGAAAGACACGAGTGGGGCGGAGATATGAACTGGTTTTGGACCAGGGCTCTCGCTAGGTTTTGGGGCTGTCTGACAGTACCCTGAAAAAAAATTCCCCCGTCTTACGCTCGGACGACGAAATTTACATGGTCTGCATCAGGCCTCTGGATAGGATTTGGGGTACTCTTTCGCGTAAGGCCAACACCTAGCTTTTACTCTTTCAGTAAGGGTGCTTTGCAGAAACTGCTCTTTAAAATCAGGATTTCAAACTATGAAGGATTATTTTAATTCTCCTTCTAGACAGGATGTTGGTGTTGCAATGGGTTGAGTCGTCGAAGTTATGTGGAGGACCGAAATTCGATACTCAGCGCGAGCGTCCGACTAGAATAACATGTTTTACACGACCAATCCTGGTATCCTCTCTTAGATCGAACTCGATTTTATCAGTGCTACTACACCACATAGCTCTGAAATATCAGTGTCGTATAATCGATCACTCTTTTTTGTAAGGGTCTAAAACAAAACCAGTCTTGTAAAAAAGGGTGCATAGTCAAACCCGCCCTTATAGTAAGGGTCATAAGGGTGAATCACCCCGATATCGAGAGGCCTGGTCTGCATTATAAGCTGGAATAGTTTTTCTAGTCTGATAAATAAGACGAAAAAAAAAATCCTGTTAAAAGTCAACCTACTGTAATCCTACCAGCATGTCTACTCATAGTACCTAACAACCTAGCTGCAGTAGCAAAGGACTTAGTCAGAGTCACTAGAGCCGTACACTTCATTGCTATCAGTATCATCCTCGCTAACCACTGACTCTGGGACAGTGGCCCTTTCTTTCCTACTAAGCCACGGGTACTCAGCATCCATCCTTGCTGCTTCTGCTGCTAGGGCCGCTTCTCGAGCAGCCGCTTCTGCTGCTGCCAGTGCTGCTGCTGCTGCTGCAGCTGCGGCCGATCTTTTCTTCGCACGCTTGCTCGGTCTCTCCCCGGACGCCATCAGCACATCATTCGCAGGCCTGCGCTTCTTGGAAGCATTCCACCTCCTCAGTAACTCGGGCCACTCCATGTCGTAGTTAAAGCAGCAGTATACATTTGGCAGGGCGAGTGCCAAAAGTTTATAAATGGTACATGGTGGGGCCAAAGTCGTGAGGCACACTGTAAAACCCTGAACCCCACTGTCAAATGTATACTGCTGCTTTAAGGAGCGAGACGGCCATCAGCTCTCCTAGCTTCGCGTCGCACAGGTTCCCACGAAGCCAGCTTTTGATGATGTTCTGCCGTGAAAAGCCGCGCTCACACTCGACGGTACTGAGCGGAAGCACGGCGACGGCCATCCACAGGTGGACGAGGTTTGGGTAGCATGTCGCCCAGTCGGGGGAGGACAGCATGAGCTTCAGGCCGTCCGCAAACCCAACATCCTCCTGGTGTGAGGCCATGATTGTGGAAAAGGTGATGATCTCCCTCTGCGCTCTCGCCCAGTTGATGCCTGCGGTTGGGGTGCGCATGGGGACAGTGAGACAGGAGATCATAAAGGGTTGAAACATGCAGCTGAAAGAGAATTCTGAAGACTATAGCAGCACATTCCCGGCATTTGACGCACCTGGTAGAGTATCAGGGTCTTCTGGCTTCTTCTTGAACATGTTGCGCAGAGACTGGAGCCATTGGCCTAGCCTTCGCTCACGCTTTGCCTGGTTCTTGGGATACGATCCCTGCTTGAACAGCTTCGCCCCGTCGAGGTGTGAAAGATCCTTGAGGTGGTAGTCGAGCCGACCAACCAAGGTCGTGATGAACTCGCGCGCCAGCCCGAAACACGCTTGGTGGTCCACACCACTTTTCTGCCCCTTGATTTTCTCCTCATGTAGTCGGTATCGATGGCTGACCGATGTGCCGTCGGAAGCTGTGCCAGCAACGGGGACCTCACGGAACTCCCCTGATGCGTGCTTGTCGAGGAACGGGCCCAACGCGTCTCCACCCTGGCCAAAATTTGCGTCGTCGCATTCGAGGTAACGTGTGCGCAGCAGTAAGGTGGTGTTGTGCACCATCGGCAGCACATGGGTTGCGTCGACCTGTAAACGGGGTTGCAACAGCAGGATGTTATTAAAAGTATAGTAAAACAACAAATAGTAAGTCGAGAGACCTGCTCACCTGGCGCCGCTGAAACTTCAAGCTGAGAAGGTTGAGCTCCTTCAAGACATCAGCAAGGAAGAACAGCAGGAAATGGAATTTGTAGCTCGTTACGACTTGATACATCTTCTTGTTTGTCTCGTGCAAGACCATCACTGCTGCAGGAAACACCTTCACCAGGCGCTGGATGGCGTCACCACGAGACAACCATCGGACGTCCTTGATGCCTTGGACTTCGAGGTGGGTCTCGCAAATGACCTCCTGGAGCTCTTGAAAGCGGGCGTGATTAACAGAAGAGCGACCAAGGTTCTCTGCTACGGCACGGACCACCTTGTCCACGATGTTGAAGTCCGGATGCACGGTGGCAGCATCCTTGGCCGCCAAGGCCTCCCTGCAAGACAACGGAACGTAACATTAGCACGGGTATTTTTTTTTTAAAGTATGGAAAACACGAAGCAACAAACTTACCTGTGCGCGATGCAGTGGGACGACACAAGATGAGGAACCTTGACTTTGAGGCGCGCTGTGACTCCGTTGTGCTGTCCAAGCATGACAGAAGCACCATCAGTGCTCATACCGGTGAGGCGCATCAGGTCGATGCCGGTACTCTCCAGATGAGTCAAGAGAACTGTAGTGAGTGACGCGGCGTCACACTGATCCACAGTGAGCAAGGCGAAGAACTCAGTGACGGGAGCGTTGTCACGCATGAACGTCAAATAGACGATCATGTGTTTCCCCCGCCGTCGGTCGGTGCTCTCGTCCAACTGGATGCCAAGGTACGGACTATCGCGGATGTGTTTCAGCTGGCGGGACTTCAGGTAGCACACCATGGTCTCGACCAGTTGTGCGAAGCCGTACCTGAGACACACGGGGTTAAAACTCGTTAGTATTGTAAACCCACGGAACACAAAGCAGAAGTTTTGAACGGGACACTTACTCGCTGTAGTACGTCCCGTTCTCCTTCAGGGGCAGATCCGGAGTCCCCTGCTCTGCCATGAACTGAACCAAAGCCACGAATAGCACAATGGGAGCGTCAGACTTGCAAATGAATAACACGATAGCCATTAAGCGAGCAAGACGCTTGACATCATCGTCCCCCCGGTGGAAGTCAGCAATGGACTTCTGCACTTTCTTCACGCCGTCGCGCTCCTCCTTCCTCAAGACCGCGGCCTCATGTTTCAGACTGTGGTGATGCTTGCGCATCGTCTGCTTCTGAATGTCGATGCCACCATCGCCGTTGCGCCCGTATTTGTAGTTGGGGTCCCCGAAGACCATGCAGACGCTGCAGCGCATGCAGGGGCGGCCGGCCTTGTTTTCGGATATGAGAAGTCAAGGAAAATACCGCTGCCACTGCTGCTTGCACTTCAACTGAAGCTCCTCAACCGACAGCTGCTTGCCTTTCGGATCTTCGAAGTCTTCATTCGCGGGTTCAGGCTCTGCGGGAGGCGGAAGAACTGACGGTGCTGGCTGAGTCGGACCGCCCGGACGTAAAACGGTGAGAACCCGCTGCTTATACCGCTTCTTTAATGATCTGTCGGGCAAGACGGGGTTAGCACTGAGAGAGGTAGTAGCGACAGATACTGCAGGGATGCTCTTATTTGCACCGTTGTCTGGCATCCGAGAAGTTACTAGCGTAGTAGGGGTAGCGGTTGATGGCACGGAATGATCGCCATTTACCGAGATTGGAGCATCGCCTTCGGGCAAAGGGACCGCAGCAGAGGTCGACATAATCGGTGGGGCAACAGAAGCGATCTGCTTGCCCCGCGTTAGGAAGTCTAGCGCCGTAAGCACGGGCTCCGCATCGCATGGTCCGCCGGCGGGGACGGCCATAGTCTAAACGCTGGGAAAACAGACGCTGGGAGGGATACGGTCCATGCTCGGCTGAGTGAGAGTTAAGACAAGCAGGAGAAACAGGCTTGTTTTCAAGCCTCACCCAGCTGCATGAAACCCCATCACCGTGCACTGCATTCAGAACCAAAAGGCGCTGCGTGTTGGGAGCGGGGGGCACTACGACCACAGTGCAATGTTGCGTGACGTCTAGGAAATGCAAATGCGCTGGCAGTGGCACAACGGGACAACGCGTTGCCGTGGCTGTGGCTGGCGTCGGTGCTGATAGCCAGCCACACGACAAACTCCTGGCAGCATATGCCGCAGTTACATGAGAGCGAGGCTGCTATAAGACACGCGTATTGAATGCGCGTGCTGTTACAGAGCAGCAAATGGCTGTACATGTGGTCCTATTCTCTGGTCCACTGGGCATATGGCCTAGTGGGTCAAGATGTCGGTTTCAGACGAAACCGAACTCGATATCTGTATATTCAGATTAAGAATTCTACACGTCTGGAAAAATCATACGAACCTAAAACGCTTATCTTACTGATCAGATGAGAACAAACACAGATTCTTAGGAAGCAGATGAATACAAAAAATCAAGTCTTAAACTCAGACCATCAGACCAAATTGGTCTGATAACGAGAGCCCTGTTTTGGACCATCTCTGGAGACCAGCCATGGGTCTGGGGGTCAGAGAGCGGGAGGAGGTGATACGATGGAACAGAGGGACAAGGCAACTGTTCCGCTGCCTGTCCTTGTGGGAATCCAAGGAAATAAGCTGTAG